CCGTTCAAAATTTAGGAATATATACAGATAGGACGTAATCTTATGTGATAACCAGGTATTCGGTTATAAAGCTCGGGGTTGTTTTTGAATGGTAGTGGTAAATTGAGGGTTAAAATTGTAAATGTGCTTAAATGTTTTTAAAGTTCCACCTTCTCTTATTGTTTATTATGGATAATTGAGATATTTACCTTATCTCATGGGTTTTGTGGGTAAGTGAAAAGAAGTTGATAAAAAGAGAACATTTCTATGTGTTCTCTGGAGACCGAGGTAAAACAGAAACCTACGAGGGAAGCTAGAGAAGATTGATTATGTGATCATTAACTGGATTTGTTGCTATTCATTTTCATATCTTTTATCTCATTGTGATTAAGGTGAGTTTATTTTACAAACATTTCTTATTTGGTAATTGAAATGTTAACGGTATGGTTCTTTATGTGGGGATGATATAAAACTGGTTTGATGCTTTAATAAGCACAATTGTGAGATTTTGATATGTTATATCATATGTTTGGAATAAGAACGACATATCAAGGAGATATGTATTTTGGCGATAAGGGTGACATATCAAAGAGAGACGTATACCAGGATAAGGGTGGCATAATCAAACATAATGTAAAATGTGGATTTTGATCAAAAGTGTTTTCTGTTTTGTCGCATCCTTGTGATGCGATGATCTGAAGTTGTCGCATCTGTGTGATGCGATAACTTGAGTTTATTGCATCTTTGAGATGCGACGAGTGGTGTTTATCGCATCCTTATGATGCGAGGAGTATAATTGTCGCATCCTTATGATGCGACAATATGCGACAAGTTGAGTTTATCGCACCAGTGTGATGTGATGAGATGAGATCCTCGCACCAGTGTGATGCGAGGAAAAGGGATTGTCTCACTCATTTGATGCGAGAAATTTATATATTCATATATATGATGCGATGAGTTTACTCATAATGTGTTTAATGAGTTATTTAATGCGATTATTGGATTATGTCTCATCATTTTGATGCGATAAAAGAGGTTTGTTTTATTAAAAATATTGTTATTTGTTACCGACGCAAGCATGAGTTTATAAATGAGATTTGATGATTATTCACCCTATAATTGCATAAAAAGGGATTTCTCACAAGATCTCGAGGTCTAGCCCTAATTTTTGATGTTTTGAAAAATGTTCATTACAGTTCGGGCACAACCAGAAGATAAGGGGGAGGGAAAGTTGTGAGAAATTTATATATGTTTACATGAGATGTTGAGGATAATATGCTATCTTTAGTATTTGAATACTTGATTTGAATACAAGTTTTGTATAGGGATTTTGTGAAAAAATTTGGTGGCTACTTTGTAATGTAGCTTTTGTAATTAGTAAGACCAGTTGTGTAAATTATATTTCTTGATATATGAAAATATATGTTTATATGCAAATGTGATCTTGGAGTGTTACATCTTAATATGTGGTATTAAAGGGAAATTTATGCAAAACGCCATTTTACAAAATAGTTTTCACTTTTTAGCTATCTTAGAAACTCATTTTTTTCAAATAACCAAAGTTTACAGGAAAAAAAAACTTTACGTAGAAAAGTTTGCTTTCAAGTCAAAAAAAAAAAAAAAAAAAGCTAAAAAATGAGTTTATGCAAATATATATATATTTACCCTGAAAAAGATTTTCTACATAAAGTTTATTTTCAGGTGACAAAAAAAGAAAAATAAGTTAAAAATGAGTTTACACAAAAAATAGGACTTTACGTAGAAACTTTGCGCAAAGTCCCCATTTTGCGTAAACGTATTTGTGTATAATGTTTTTCTTTTTATCTTTTTTTTTCCCTGAAAATAAGAATTCTCTACGTAAATCTCTTTTTTTGTAAATTTTGACCATTACAAAAAAGAATTTTATAAAATGACTAAAAAATGAAAATCATTTTATAAAATAACTATTTACGTAAATTTCCCTAATATTAAATACGTATACGTATACGACTTCGATGGGTTGGATAGCCAACACAAATACTGTGAATAGATATAAACCGAACCGGTTTTAATCCAATCTAATTTACTACTAATGATAAAGACTGAAATTGGGTTAGAAAATTACTTTATTAATCAATCAATTATAGTTTTTAAGCTTTATTTATTTTCTGTGTCAGTTAGAACATCTCCAACAGGTATGCTATTTTAAAATTTTAAAAGATTTTGGAAACCTTTGCTTCAATAGCTATGCTAAACTCTCCTCTAAAATAAAGGGGGAAAAAGAGAATGAAGAAATATTCAATTTAAAGAAAAAAAAATATAACATAAATGTTGGTATATACATGCATTCTTTAGCCGAAAAACTACACAAAATATGTATTTATCTTAGAATCTAAAAAAACATAATCAAATTTGCACAAATACATTTGTTGTCTTTTCTGAAACTATTTATATAACTCAACGATCCATAAACAGTCAATTTCTCGTTAAAATCGTACAAATGCATTTGTTGTATGTAATTTGAAGTTACCACAGTAAAATGGTGTTTCCAGATGGGGCTCCTACATAATCGAACTTGGCTTTCGACATCCAACGTTTATCTTTTCAATGATTAATTTATTGTACGAAAGATTTCACTAATTTTTTGGTAGATTGGTGTTGCAACCCAAGAGCCATTCATGGGGGTTAAATTTCGATTTTAAAAGGGTTTTCTTTTTGTGTTTTTGTTTCAGTTTCTCTTGGGTGTTTATTTTTAGCTTTGTTCAGCTGGGTTCAAAACCATCTCTAGGGAGGGCAGCTGGGCACACGTCCTGCGCACATAAAAAATAGGGGACCAGTTTTTTTTTAATATATAGTAACAGTATAAAAAATAGACAAATTTTTAGTATCTATTAGAATCCAAAAAGAATTTTGTATTATTAAGAGTCCAAACATTTATTAATTAATTATATTGAACAAAAATATGTAAAAAGTTGATTGTTCGATCATTTATATTATTTTTGATTATTTCATCCTCGTGAATTCTAGTTTTGTATTAGAGTATAGTAGATTTGTTGTTATTAGCTAAAAAACCCCCTTACTTTTTTGAAAAAAGTTATCAACCATGTAAGATGGTCCAACTTATATCTATATTTAGGATTTCAAAACTACTATTAATTTTTCATACATTAGTGACTCCTTATTACCTAATATTGAGTCCATAAATCTTAAGTACACTTCTATCTCTAAAACAATAATAAGATCTCAAGTTATAACTAACATGAATGTTTGATTCTAAGATTGATGGTTCCTAAAAAGTTTGTTTTAACCCTAAAAGTTTAAAATGATGATAAAAACTTTAACATGAGATGAAATGAAACTTACTTGATTTATACTGATTTACCTAGAGTGTTACTTCAAATAGTCAATATTGTGAGCCCTCTCATATTTGGGTTTGCGGTTATAAAAATTTGGATGATTTCTATTAAGTGGAGAAAGTTGAGGGGTGCGTTTTAAAATTTTATTTGAAATATAATTTATCATCCCCACCTCACATTAAATATGCACATATTATGTTGATATTTGCTACTTTTTGAGAAGAAAAAAAAAGGGAAAGAAGTGTGTGTACGTATTTACTCTGGTTCGAAGCAAACAAAAAATCGAAGAAGGAACCTTCGTGATTAATATCTGATTTTGTTGTTGTTTGGAGTCTTCAACTTTTGTGTTTACAAGGTGAGTTTTACTTTTAGAAACATTATTTAACATGTTTTTGATGAAGAAACTGTAGGGTTTCATACATGGGTTTTTGAATATGTTATATGTTATTTATAGCATAATTTTGTGTCTTGATATGTGATTATCAACTGGTTGGACTAATGGTGACATAATCAGGAGAGGAGTATTTTTGGATAAGGGTGTCAAAATCAAGTGAGACGTATACTGGGATAAGAATGACATAATCAGGAGAGACGTATTTTGGGATAAAGGTGGCATAATCAGGAGAGACGTATATTGAGATACGGGTGACAAGATCTTATGTATGTAAAAATGGGATTTTTGATCATGTGGAATTGTTGTCGCATCCTTGTGATACAATGAGTTTGATTTATCTTCATCTATATGATGCAATGAGAAGATGTTATCGCATCCTTGTGATGCGAGAAAGGTATTTATCGCATCCTTAAGATGTGAGGAGTTTTGTTATCGCATCCTTGAGGTGCGACAAGATTGGGTTAAGTTGTATTTATCGCATAAGTGTGATGCGACGAATTGAGGTAATCACATCCATGTTATGCGAGCAAATGAAATATCACATCTATATTATGCGATAAAAATGTGATCGCATCAATAAGATGCGACAAGTTAGTATCTTTTATATTCAACGCGATGACTTTTGTATTTCATGGGTTGATGCAACAAAAAAAAAAAAAGAGATTGTCTCATCTATATCATGCGACAAAAAGGTTTGTTTTGATAAAACACTGTTTATTTTATCAATACAAATATGGATTTTCTAAAAGTGTTTTGGTAATTTTCACCCTGTAATAGCAATCAAAAAAGATTTCTCACTAGAACTTATGGTCTAACCCTCGTTTTTTTTAAACGTGCATTACAGGTTGAACACATTTGGAGAATAAGGGAAAAGAGAAATATGAAGGTGATCATGATTGCATTACATATGTGAATTTTGGAAGTTGTTATCATATATGTACTTGAAAAGTTGTTATGTTTACAAGTTATGTAATTGGTGTAAATAGAAAAAGTTTATAACTATTTTTTAGTGTAGCATTTTGTATATTTTGAGACTAAGGTGTATATATTTATTTCATGTTATATGAAATACATGAGTTATATGCAAAATGTGAAAAAGGGACGTTACAATCCCATATGATGTCAACCTATATATCAAAGGTATACCATAGGATGTTTTTTTTACGGTGGAACAGATTGACAATATAATGTAAAAATGATATGGTAGATGATGTTAATTTAGAAATAATTATGGATTAATTTTGCATTTAAGAATACTTGGAAAAACGATTTTATATGAATTATTAGTATTTGTTGAATTCAATAATATTTATGATAATAAAAACAATATAAAAACCATGAGCAGAAATTTATATAACTATAAGAAGAGTAAACGGACAAAATTTTAAATTAAGAACAAAATTGGGATTTTCCTCCGTTAAAGGTTGTGTTGCAGCATGCGGCCTCGGAGGTTGGTTTCGGCAGCTACTGTTACTTGACAATGACAATAGAGCAAGAGCAAGCCTTACATGTCGATATTCATCTGATGACAGTGGATCGCACACTAAAGCTCGCTTAGGCTCCTGCACAATAAATCAAAATAAGATAGCTGCCAAAAAAACAACAAATAACCGAACAACCTTTGTAACTGCTGCATTCGGCTTTAGTTATCAAAAAGACGGATTTAGTTGTAGAAATCCCACAAAGCATAGCATTTGTGAGATTTTGTAACTATAGTGGCTTCAAATAATGATTGTTACCACAAGTTTAGTTTTCTATTATGGAGTTGGTTTGCAAAACTTTTTTTCTCTTCCCCAAAAATAATGGTTGTTACCAATGTTGTTTTTAGACCTATCAATAATGCCAAACACGTCTTATACCTCAAACCAAACCAAACCAAACCAAACAATACCACTATATCCCGCTCAAGGGCAGGGTTGGGGGTGGAATCAAATAATAGAGCAGTTGTTTCCATGAAGACCTCCAGCTTGTGCAATAGTGAATGATGATCATCATGATGGCAATAATGAAAACATTACTCAAGTGGCAGGGCCAGAACCTCATTGATCAAAAAAAAAATTAATCAGGAAGAGAACAGGTTTCCTTTTTCTACAATTTAAATTGAACTTCAACCCTTACATGGATGGTTTCAAAGGTATTGCACCTAATGGTTTGATTAAAATTACTCAACCGTCAGTAATTATAGATGATAGAAACCGAAGACCGTCAGTTTTTTCCTAGCAGGGTAGTGAATCGCTAAAATACTTAAACCAAACCAAACCAAACAAGCCCAATACATCCCACTCGAAGATAGGGTCCGCCCTGCCCGCCGGGGGGGGGGGGGTGATGTGCACAGATTTGACCCCTACCCTAAAGAGTAGAGCGGTTGTTTTCCAAGAAAACCCCAGCTAGCGAGAAGTTTGTGGAAGTAAAGAAGACAGATAAGCTAAGATTTGAAAAGCGAGATATGAGTAAGCAATAGCAATACAAATAAAAAGAGAGAGAGAGAGAGACATATATGAGTAAGCAACATCAACATAAACAGAGGCAAGTACAGGAAAAACATAGCCAAGGCGTGGAAACTACACCCCCTGGTCTAACTTAGGGTTATGGTAGCCTAACCACTGACTCACAAACCCTATCCCCCTACCCTCTACTTCTCCAGGTCCCTTCCTTCTAGATCCCCCACCCCTAGTCTGCTACCCTGCTCTTGTGTCTCCAAGAACTCCTATCAGAGACCATGTCCTCGGAAATGCCTAAAATATTTGATTACTCTAAATTTCACTAAATACACAATCAACCCCGATACTAAAATCCTAAGGCACGTCAAATCTGCCTAGGCAAACAACACACCATTTGAAGAGAACCTGATTAAATCCTTCGCTTTCGGCACGTTAAATGGGCCTCATGATCCATCCCTCCAGTTGGGAAGATTATGGGAAGAGATATATACAACCCAAGACATAACCTTATGAGCTTTGGGGCTTCATTTCTCATCAAATGCATACTTTGGCATTACAGTAGCTGCTTCTGTCCCTTCCTCTATAGCAGGCACAATAAGAACAATTTCAATATCAGATCACTCAAAAACTCAAACCAATTGTTAGATTCTTCCTGTTGTCTTCTTATACTCATTTTAGTGTGCATTTCCTTGTTTTCATTCATTACATCAACTGTGTTTGCATGAAGCTTTTGAATCTGAGCCCACCATACCACCAACTCTTTAATCCTTTAGTAGAATTCTAGAATAAGTGTATCTACTGTGAGTCCATCCACCTCTACATTTACCACTTCTGCTACACTCATCTTGTATCCAAGATGTCTTTTGGTAGCCCCACATTCTGCCGAATAAACCTCTCTCCTGTAAAACCCAATAACAAATGTGTCCTGACATGAAACTATTACACTCCTTTTCATACCATGTAGATCTCTAATAATTTGCAAATATCAAATCTATGTTTTGTGTCACGTGCATCAAAACAAGGGAATTATACTTCTTCCACATCCCATCTTGACTACAAAACAAATAGTAGCATCAATCCTCATTCCTCCATATATGCTTTAGCAGTCTTATAATGATGAAGACAAACTATAACAAGATGACTAGATTACCTACTGAGTTAACTCATCAAGGAGCATAATAGTTTTGACTAGGCCTCTCAAGTCAATAACACACCATAAAGCCAAGCCTAATTGAATCTTATAGGGACTGAAATATTCATTTTCAGGACGACTAGATAGCAATAACATGATGACAACAAAAGAATAACACAATTTCAGTTGAAAAAAGAGTTCAAGTAAGAGTTAGTGAGAGTTACTAGATAGGACAGTGTAAAAGGACAAAAAGCAAGTGCAGATATTCCCTTACAATATAGATTTTTTCATTTTGAGCTTCCGAACTTTCTTGAAATGTGAAGGTTTCAACAAGCGTTTGAAAGGAAATGATATGGATTGGTGTGAACTCCCTTGCTTTCTTCTGACTCTCTCTGCATAGAAAGAACAGGAAAAAGGATAATGTTCAGAGACATGAAATGAATATGCATGGATATCAGGAATTTGGAAAGACCCTGTTCCTTTTGCAAGTTTTTAGGTGTGGTAACAAAAACAGGGATCACCAGGACTCTGATCCAAAAATCTATTCAAGGTAACAATGCAGTATTTTTACAGTTGATAAGGCTTTGCTAAAAGAATCAGGTACCTGATGAAGACCCATGTCCATACAAATGATTCATCTGGCTATGATCTTTCAACTCTCCGTGGACTTCCATTGACGAATCTTCCAATAGCTCATGAACAACTGAATTAGCACCGTTGTTTTGCAACTCATCATCAGATCCTGAAGTGGCCAATGTACAGACTGAAACATCTTCCGCAATTACAGTTGAGTGTTCTACGGAACGTGCAACTGAAACATCTCCCGCAATTACGGTCAACTGTTCTTCTGGAACATCTTCATTCATAGATGCAACAGACAAGGGCAAAGATGAGTTAATAGGTGAAACCGTAACATCTCCTGTGTCCCTCATGTGTTCTCCTTCCAAAAACTCTTCATACAGAGATGCATCCGAGACAGACAACACCCTATCGCCACAACTTTCATTCAGACCTATTTCATTTGATGCAATCATTGGCGGATAAATAGGAGCATCGGAAGAAAGCCCGTTGGCTTCATTGCACTGAAGAGTAGATGGATTATCAGCAAACGTGATTGAAATTCCTGCAGTTGGAAGAGCAGTACTAATTGCACGTCCTTTCTGATCACTGGCATGTTCTTCGGATATAGCCTCATAAACTTCTGGTTGCGGATTTAGCTGCTCGGCTTCAGGACAAGAAAAGCATATGTTCAAGTTACTTGGTATCTTTGTCTCCTCCTCTATAAGCATAGCACAAGTTTCACCACCCTCGACACTACCCAAAGCTTCAAGGGTTTCATTTGCAGAGGAGATGTCACAATTGCCATAGTTCAATTGATGGCCTTTCTCCAGAGTCTCCATCACCGAAGTCTGATCGTTCTCAGGAGGATCATGCATTTTAGAATCTATATGTACATCATAAACAGCAGTCAGTTTATTGGCCTTAGTAGCAGCAGGCAAGTCTCTGCTACTACCATATGGCTCTGATTTTGTTTCGGAGATAATGTCATTGATGTGCAATCCATATGACGGTAATCCATCAATGATTGAAACAAAATCAATGGCTTTGACGGTTTTCAATTCTTTGCTGGAGGCTGCAAAGGACTTTGCCATGTCATCTAACTGCAAATCACCATCACCACTGGAGATGGGATCCCACTTAAGCCAGTCATCAAAACCAGCTCCCTCGATATCGGTCTGCTCAGTTGGCGAGATCAATTCGACCCTGATGGCCTCTTTGTAGAATTTCTTCTTCCGTAAAGCATTTTCTAGGAGAGATCTGCAGATCATTGCATGAAACATATGTTAGAAAAATGGAAATCACTATATCAGCACATGCCACATTATGAAAGCATTTTTAAGTGCTCATACCTACATGTTCTGGAAACAGCAGCTTTAGCACGTTCCATTGAAAAACCAAGTAGACATGCCAGATTTGCAACATCATATGGTCCTCTAAGTTCAGCTACAGAAGGGGCAGCACTTGAGAAAATGAGATTTTTTCCTCGTGTCCAATCGACCAAGAACTGCAAAATAGCATCTCCTTTTCAGAAACTACTTGGTGCGTGCAGCTTGGATTACTTAGAGTACAAAAAAAAATTGAGGAATAATTGTGATTTATGGCTGGTGAGAAATTGCTTGGTGGTTTTTTGTCATAGTTGAGTAGTACTGTCATCATGTTGCATGGCAAAATGCATTTTCTCATAACACTTCTGCTTTCTCTTAATACTTCTGCCTTCTATATTCTGCTTTCTACTATCTATGTTGTCTTCCCCAGGATCTATCTCTCTGTAACCTAAATTTTGAATTCTGTCTTCTAACTCTGATCCTATCTTATCTACTCTATTCTTCAAAAGTTGTGCTGGAATCAAATGAATAAACCTCCAACAATTTCCTGTTCACATTGCAACTTGTTACTTAGCATCTACAGGAGATGTGGAGAATAACATACATTTAAGTAAGTTCCACTGTTCCTGCCAATAAGGACATGAACAAGGCATTGATCACTCAAACTAGGAACCCCAATGATCGCAGCAATGGAATGTGTCTGGCAATCTATATTGCCTCAAAAATATTGCCCTGTGAAAGCGAACTTAGTTTTAAGGGCCAGACCAAGAAGATCTATCATAAGAGGACACCTTCAATTTCTTCTCCTGATCATCAACACAGAGACTTGCAACCCACATCAACATACCATGTGTACAAAAACATTTGATGTTTGTTTCCATCTCTTATTTAATAGGTGATTGTTATAAGATAGGTAACAATTCTTCACCTTTAGAGTAAATATACCTGACACGCTTATGCAGTTAATGATGCTATACAACTATCCATCTTTCATGGCACAATACATATACATATGTATTTGTGTGTCTATATGTACAGAATCAAGCTATTCAAATAGCTAATAGTGTTGTGTCAAGCATTATGTTGATGCAGTTATAACATTTTATTATGTGAGAGGGAAGCATTATTTATTTCTGGCAAATGACAAGATCAAGGAGACATGCATATAAGCCTGAGGATACAGCTTCTTAAGACTCGATAAACAAAAATATTTTATTCACATATAGGTTACTAACTTCTGCAAGTTCTCATCTCATATTCTCATTTAAGGTGCAGTGTTACAGAATCCAATCCAATTATATCCAAAATAAAATGTAAGATCTTATACCTTGACATTGGATATCATCTGCCTTCTCAACTGAGCATCCATAACAAGACTTGAGTAGTTAATTTCAAAATATACCCCTCTCTGCATATCAAGAAGAAGAATATCGTCTCATAATCAACTAACCAAGTTCAAATTCATGAAAGTAATTACGAACACATCCAAAAAGCAATTCGAAGTAGAACTATAACCTCAATCGCAGCTTTGATCAAGGGCTGCTTCAACCGAAACCGATTCTCCAAAAAATCAATGGAAATTATATCCACCTATACACAAACACATTCAGTACTTAAAAAGTCCTATACTATTAAATTAAGCACATCAAAAAATTTAAAGAAAACAAGACCTCGTAGTTTTTACAAGCTTGATCAAAAGATTCCTGTTTCAATGGCCTGACAGCAACAATGTCGTAAGTTTTAAGAACCGGATTGCCCGAATTGAGAGCTGATCCTTGCGCGGGTATATCGACAACAACAGAGAGACGAGTGTATTGACGGAAAGGTGTGGAGGTTGGAACATTGAGGAGGCGGCGGTGAAGGTTTACAGAGGAAGAGATAGAAGGGGACACTTTGAGAACAGAAGAAAGAGGGAATAGAGAGATTGAACAACGGTCGGCTTCCGACATTACTCCGGTGATAGTACGGTTGTATGCGACACCGGTGTAACCCAACTCCATGGCTTTCACAGCGAGTTTCAATCGTGTTGCTTTATCGCCGGCGGAATTCCGTTTGTTTGATTCGGTGTAAGGTATATTCAGATCGAAAAACCCCATTCTCAACCTCTATAGAGTCTCACACACAGCACGCAGGTAAAAGATGGAGGGAAGAAGCAATTATGGTGGAAATCAAATAGTTAGGTTTTCCTCCAAGAAACCCGACCCATATAGAAATCAACCCTGATATGATAGACCTTTAAGTATCGTGTTGATTCAATTTTAGTCCCCTTAGTTTTTTGTTTTACAATTAAACACCTTGCTCTAAATGGTAATTAAAAAAAATCCAATTACACTAAAATATAAATTCCAACACAATTTCTAAAATATCAGGTTAAATTTTAAAAGGGAAAAGTTCAGAAAAAACCAATAAATTATCATATTTTGAATGATTAAATCATTAAATTATGTTTTTTTGAATGAAAAAAACATTAAACTATCATACTTTGAATAATTAAGTCCTTGAACTATTTTTTTGTATGAGAAAACCATTGAACTTTCTCAATTTGAATGATTAAGTCTCTGAATATTTTTCAATAAATTAAAGCGTCGAACTTGGAAAAGTATCTTCCACTATAGGATAATTCTTTGGGTTTTTTTCTGAATATTTTCCATTTGTCAAGTTCAAGAGGAAAGAATCCTTTGCTTATTGAAATATACAACTAATTATATCATAAAAATTATTTCAAGGTGATCTATATAAAATCCTCTCCCATATATTTTTAAAATAGAAACGGGGTCTCACACTTTCAGAGAACTCATGTTCTCCATTTTAATAGATAGCCCTACTCTAGTGGCTGATAGGTTTTTGATGATCGCTTGGAGTCTTTGGTATCGACGCAACGATGTACCCTGGTCTGATGGTTAGACGGATCTCGAAACGGTGGTGAGAAGAGCAACGAGTGTCCACTCAGATTGGATAAAGATGGACGAGATGCGGGATCGAGCCGTGGTTGAACCAACCCAAGATTGCTCGCACCTTTGGCACTACCCGCCTAATGATTTTTTGAAATGCATCATTGATGTGGGCCTCTTTCTTGACGATGCTAAGGCCGAGATGGGGACGGCAATTCAAGATGGCCAATGTATGCTCTTTGCTGCTAGGACAAAGCCTATCCATGATTTACCGCCTGTTCGCCAATGTGAAGCTTTGGCTATTCTTGATGCCATGTCGTAGTTCATCGAGTTAGGCTTGTAACAGGTTATCTTTGAAACTGATACTAAAGTTGTTGATGCGGTTACCTCCATGGAAGATGACGACTCATAATTTGGGGATATCAATAGTCATATTCATGTCATTCTCTGCCAGCATACCTTCTTCTCGATTAAGGCTATTAGGAGACAAGCAAATAGGACGGCTCATGTGGTTGCACAGTTGTCCCAGCTTATTTCTTGTTTTATTACGTTTTCTCATTTACCTTCCATTATGTCTTATTGTGTGGACAATGTTTGCTCTCTGGGAGCTCATTAAGTTTAGTCTCTTTTCCTTGAAAAGGAAAAAGGACACATCTTATTTTGATTTTGCTCTAATAAATTTTCAGTATAATTTTTTAAAATATTAAAAATTTAAAATAGAAAAACATGAGAAAATTATAAACCTATAGAATTCTAAGTCAATATTAATGGCAAATGAATTGTGTTTTTCTTTTCCACCAAAAAAAAATTTTACATTATTATTCTATACAAAAAAACTTAAAAGTGTATTAAAATAATAAAATATCTATACTGTATTATAAAGCATTTGATAAAAATTCTTAAAAACCATTTTTATGCAGTGTTTATTGATACATATTACTTAAAATTTAAAATTATAAATAAATTATTTTTAAGTACAACTTATTGAAGCTTCATGTTTGAATTTGTATAATTAACTGTACATAAACATGATCAAATACATGATAAACATCTCATTTAAAATATAAAAAATTTACAATATAATTAGAATAATTATTGAGTTATGATAAAATACTTAATTATTATCTTTATAAAAAATTATATTATTAAAATAAAAATAAATAACTTTGTTATTGAACCTATTTATACTATATTATAATATTTGACAAAAATTTCTAATTCTATGCATGAAATATTGTTTATTGATGTACATTTATTTAATATTCAAGATTACAAATAAATTGTGTATAAATACAACTTATTAAAGCTTTATTTTTGGATTCATGTAACTGACTACAGATAAATATAATTAAATATAAGATAAATATCTAATTTTAAATTTAAAAAATATAATTAGAATAATTATTGAATTCTAACCAAATAATTCATTATTATCTTTTTTAAAAATTTGTTATTAAACCTAAATTATATTATAATATAAAAATAAATTAAATAAATTACATAAAAAGTAGAAATTTTAAATAATTAATATATTGCTAATATCAATATATTTTTCAAAATTTTATGATATCTTCGTATTTATATTTTATTCAAAAATGAAAACATTATCGTTTTTCTCAAAATCACATTAAATTGTATTATAACATCGACTAAGATAAAAAAAAAAAAAATAAAACATTGAAATTGAGATATAATTTAAAGTAAAATTGTTTGAAGATTTTCAATTTTTATTTTCTACAATTAAATAAAAGCAAATGAAATCCCTAGCGGAATTTTTTTATTTTTAACATGTGATTTTAAAATTATGATTTCCATTCCTGAACTTTCCATTAGGGATGCTCAAAAACCGAACCTGATCAAACCAATCCATCGCAAAATAAATTAATCTGAATCAACTCGATGTCTAATCGAATTGTAAAATTTTCAAACCGTATGTACTGGATTGATATTAGCTGACTATTATTAAAACTCAACCCAACCCGATAAACCTGATATCCTTTTATTTCTTGGATTTAATATGATTGTTGAATTTATATCAATATATATACATTAAACAATTACATTATTACATACATTCTTCATATACACATTTTCAATTTATTCACATCTATATATAATTCATTCATAGATATATTCACTAACTGTGAATATGTATATATATATATATATATATATATATTAAAGAAATTAATTGAATGTGATATACGTAAGAAATATAGATAAGCTATATCAAATGATTGAGATGATAAAAAAGAAATTATAACTAAAAAATAACATATTTAAGTTCATCAATAAAAAATATTTGAACAGTAAGTATTAGATTTGGTTGTTCAAATGTTTTTAACCCAACCTATAAACACTTCCACTTCTCATGGCTTATAAGTTCAACATTTTTGTCATATGATTTATAATTCATTTTTATTTTAGTTCTCATAATTTAAAATTAGGATTTAACCATAAGGATCAAAATAGGTATGAATTACAAAACTTAGGTGGCGTTTGGTTCGCAGATTCTGGAGGAATCTGAAGAAATTGGAATGTTGAATTCCTTTGACCAGATTCATTTCATTCATTTGGTTCATTTTTTTCGGCGGAAGGATACTTCAGATTCCTATGAATTCCATGGATAAAGGATTTTAACATTCATTAGCAACTACATGGTATTTTGATGGAATGGAATCTCTATCATCATTATACCAAATATGTCATTAACCTAATATACTATAATCTTATAAAACTCAATATAACCATCGTCGACCACCTCTCGACCACTATTGATCTGAACCACCGCCGACCACCACCACCGACTACCACCTATCTAAACCATCACCGACCACCACCGATCTAAACCACCGTCGACCACCACCACCGATCTGAACCACCATCGACCACCACCATCGATCTGAACCACCACCGATCTGAACACCGCCGACCACCACCACCGACTACCACTGATATGAACCACCGCCGACCACCACCACCGCCGACTACCACCGATCTGAACCACCACCGACCACCATTGATATGAACCATCGCCGATCACCACCACCGACTACCACCGATCTGAACCATCGTCGTTCTAAGCCACCGTCAATCTGAACCACCGCCAATAACCGCCATTTGAACCACCGCCGATAACCGCCATCTGAACCACCATGGACCACCACCGATCTACACCACACTGACCACCACCACCGACTACCACTGATTTGAACCATCATCGACCACCACCACCGATTACCACCGATCTGAGCCACCACTGATCTGATTCACCGTCAATCTGAACCTCCGACGATAACTGCCATCCGAACCACCATGGACCACCACCGATCTACACCACACTGACCACCACCACCGACTACCACTGATTTGAACCATCATCGACCACCACCACCGATTACCACCGATCTGAGCCACCACTGATCTGATTCACCGTCAATCTGAACCTCCGACGATAACTGCCATCCGAACCACCATGGACCACCACCGATCTGAACCACTGTTGATCATCGTCATCTGAACTACCACGGACCACCATCGATCTGAACCACCGCCAACTACTATCGATCTAAAGCAGGGACGGACCCATAAAATTTTCCATACGGTGGCACCATATAATTAATATAATATAATATAATATACATCTAAAAATAATTACAAAAAAATCCGTCCGCCACAAATGCATCTATTCCATGATTCCCACCTTGGTCTCTGAACAAGTAACAAGGCAAACAATATGCTCTATCTACTTTTACACTATATTCCAACCACTGAAATTGATCAARCCAAGTAACAACAAACCGTCTCCCTTTAGTCCCTATAACTTTGGTTGGAAAGATGTGACCTCGTGGTTGACAAGGACCCCTTACCAAGTATTTYCGTCTAATTTCGTCTCTTTGATTTGGATTATAACTTATAATTTTGGGTCTCTCTGATGGATCCCAAGGAAGATCGTTAACATCAATCACATTGTTGGAATTGGATGCATCATTATTACYGGTTGATGATGAAGCTTTTCGCTTCAAATATTTTTCCATAATGAATGAGAATCGTAGATMTAAGTAATGAAAACAATGATAAGTAATCAGTAATGACATTGAGACAATGAGTAAATTTAATCAACATATGAAAACTAATAGAGGCAGTAACTACTAACTAGACAGACAGTTCACAGTAGCTCAAAGCCTCAAAAAGTCAAAATTCAAATCACTGTTTACAATTTGTATTTTGCAAATCAATACTCAATAGTTAATAATAGAGGCAGTAACTAGTGAGTCTAGACAGTAGCTCAAATCAAATGCTCAAGCCTCAATGCCTCAATCAATTTCATCAAAAATTCAAGAGTAAAATGTATACCTAAACCTAATCAAGTAAATAATCAACTAAAACTAAAAATGTATACCTAAAGGCTAAACCTAAATCGAATCGATTCTGATTTCTGAAATCTGAATATTGAATAATCGAGAATCGTTCTTCGAGTTTGAGTGAGTTTCGATTCTGATTTCTGAATCGTGAATCGTCCGAGTCTTCAAAATCGTTCCAAAATCGAATCGATTCTTCTTGTCGGTCGCTTGTCGCTAACTCACTCGCTTAGTCGCTTGTCGTTCACGCTCGTTGGGTTGGGCCGTCTCACACTCACCGCTTCACGTAGCTTCACTCTCGTGATCTCGTCTCGTCTGGTCACCTGCACGGCTGCACAAGAAATTAGAAAAGCCCAGGAGGGGGACTAGTCTGGAGGAGGTAATACTTTGTATATTTGATTTGGTCTTAATCATATAATTGGGCTTAGCATTTTATTAATGTTAATAAATTAATTGGACTTTGCATTTTATTAAGTTAGACTTTGGGCTCTATTTTGTTTGGGTTTTAAATTTTAATTGCTATGTTTGAATACAGTAGCACCTTCCAAAATAATACGGTAGCACCTTTCAAAATAATACGGTAGCACCGTTGAGAAACCTAAAAATTTTACCCTTCGGTGGCGAAATAATACGATGGCACGTGCCACCGGTTGCACCCATACAGGTCCGCCCATGATCTAAAGCACCATCGATCTAAACCAACATTGACCATCACCGATCTGAACCACATCTGACCATCGTCACCTGAACCACAACGGACCACCATTGATCTATATTACTGCCAACCACCGACGACTACAATTGATCTAAATCACTGTCAGACACCGCTGACCACCACCGATTTGAACTACCATCGCCACCACCACTAACCACCTCCATCTGAACCGTTGCGGACCACCATTGATCTGAATCATTTTGGACCACCGTCATTTGAACCATTGTGGACCACCATTTATCTGAACCACCATCGACCACCGTCAATTTAATAACGTCGCTTGGCTTATGATTATATTTGGGTTGTGTATTTTATATTGTTTTACATATTAAAGTTAAATTCCTTTAACAAATTCTATTCCATCCAAAAACATTTTTGCAAACCAAACACCACCTTAAGAACTTGACCAGCAATTCCAAAACCACAGGGACAAAATCCGCATTATTTAAAAACAGCAAGGAGGAAAAACGTATTTTACTCTAACTACTATGATTGAGATAGAATAGTCAAAATCAATTTACAAATAAAAAGTCAAAATAAGCAATATCTCCTCCATCACATTACAAAACACATCCAACTAACCACCAGTAATAACATTAATATGAGTAAAACCCTAAAATCCATATGCATATTGACCCGACCAGAAGGGAAGAACCCTAGCCCTTTTTCTTTCTTGATAGCAAGACTTTTTCATAGCTTACCAACCTTAACCACCGAAACCGTAAAGTGTACGCCCCTGCCTCTTCAACGCATACACCACATCCATGGCGGTGACAGTTTTCCGGCGAGCATGCTCTGTGTATGTTACAGCGTCTCTGATCACATTCTCTAGAAAGATCTTCAGAACTCCACGAGTCTCTTCGTAAATCAAACCACTGATACGCTTCACACCGCCTCTCCTAGCCAAACGACGGATCGCCGGTTTCGTGATTCCCTGGATGTTGTCACGGAGAACCTTCCGATGTCGTTTCGCTCCTCCTTTTCCTAATCCCTTTCCTCCCTTTCCGCGTCCCGACATCTTCAAATCTGCACTAGAAATTTCGATCTGATCGTCGATATTGCTATAAGAAATTAGACTGTGATCGTACTCGAAGAAATTCAAAAACGAATGGAATTCATATTGATTGAAACCAAAAGTATTAAAAAATAGAATTTTTCCCCGACCTGAAGGTTTCTGAAAGATGAACTCCACGAATGAAAGAGGAAGTTGGACGATTTCGAAGGGAGAATGGGGGGTTTGAATATATAGTTGGGGGGGGGGGAGTGGGGGTACCCCAGATCTCTGACGTGTTTCTAGCCGTTCGATATACATAGAAATGGACGTCGGAGATGATGATCCTCACGGGGATCGGTGACATGGCAAGTGTGTTTTTGTGACAAAATGGGTTGGGCCTAAGCATCGAGTTGTGATAAAATGGGTGACATGGCGCATTTTCCTTTTTGGGCTAATGGGCTGGGCCTATCCTCAGACCTAAGTCATCCATAATATCCGATTATAACAGTAAATAACTACCTCCATAACTCCATTAGACATGGCCATTTGGGTTCGGCCCCTCTCAGGACCGTCAGAGGACCGGCTCGGCACAGGACCAGTAGGGACTGGTTATGGGATCATGGTATGGAACCAGTTATGGTTTTGGGCTGTTTCGAGAGACCGGCTCGGTCCGGAATTTTAAAAAAAACTAGCCCTTTTTCTAGCTGTTATATGGGAGTTTTTTGCAAAAATATTTGTCGCTTTGGACCCCTAAACACTATATATAAGTGACTAAGTTTTATGGTGTATGTGATAGCATACCAACTTATAAAACGCAAAAAACACAAAAAATGGTTTACTAAATATGACAATGATGAGGAACTCGAAATTTATGACTTTGATAACTAAGAAACTATTAGAATAATTCAAGCATCAGACCTCTTTAGATCCATCCATCATGGGATTTCGATGATAAATAAATGTATTTTTTTAATTGAAAATTTGAATGTGATTTTAAATAGTTTGCTAAATCATAATTATAATAAAAAAAATTAAAGTGTATTTGAATGATCCAATTATACATCTTAAAGTATCGATAAAAACTTGTCAAAAAACATTAAAAAAAATAAGAATGTTCTTTTAATATACACCGGTTTGGGCCCAACTCGGGACCAATTGCTTAACCGATTACATTTATTTTTAACAAGACCTATATGTTTTTAAATGTTACTGATTCGGTATGGGACCGATTTTACAATCTTACCAAAACAAATTGAAGATAAGATTAGAAAAAATTGTTTTTTGTAACCTTATCCAATTTTGTTGTCCGTTACAATCTCATATTGCAAATATATTCAATATTATATCAATAAGAGGTAAAGAAAATAGTAAATTATTAAATAATGGATGGATGACACGTGTCATAATATAATTGGTTTATGAGATTTTATTAAGATAAAACTTATCTTATTAAAAAAAATATACAAAAATTCATATTTTTTTATTATCTACAAATAGAGATTAATAATGACGTGTTTTTAACACACCAATCTTTCTCTTTGAAAAGAATATGTAATTTTGATCGTCAGTTATAATTTGTTTTATTTATTTCCAATTATAAGTGTTTGTATTTATAATTACGTTTTAAAATATGAAATCATTTTTATTTATTTATTTTAAATTAAAAGATATATATATATATATATATATAT